ACAAAGGGCAATAACTCCTTAAGGGGTCGATTGACAATTTTGGTCATTTGACTTATTTGTAGATCTTACTTTGCTGTACATTATTGCTGTTTACAGTTTATCTCTATCTATAATAATATTCAAGATAATAACCAAAAGCTGCAAAATTTTCTTAAAATTACCAATTCAGGGGCAGCAACCCAACAACGTGTTGCCTGATTGGTCTGAATTTCAGGGCAGATAGATCTTGACCTAATGAACAATTTTATCCTGTCAGATTTGCTCTAAATGCATTGGTTTCAGAGATATGAGCCAAAAACTGTATTTTACCCTATGTACTATTTTTTAGCCATGTCGGCCATCTTGGTTCGCGGGCGGGGTCATCGGACACATTTTTTAAACTAGATACCCTAATGATGATTGTGGACAAATTTGGTTAAAAGATTACAAAAATTTACGAAAAATGGTTAAAAATTGACTATAAAGGGCAATAACTCCTTAAGGGGTCAACTGACCATTTTGGTCAAGTTGACTTAATTGTAGATCTTACTTTGCTGAACATTATTGCTGTTTACAGTTTATCTCTATCTATAATAATATTCAAGACAATAACCAAAAACGGCAAAATTTCCTTAAAATTACCAATTCAGGGGCAGCAACCCAACCATGGGTTGTCAGATTCATCTGAAAATTTCAGGGCAGATAGATCTTGACCTGATAAACAATTATACCCATGTCAGATTTGCTCTAAATGCTTTGGTTTCAGAGATATAAGCCAAAATCTACATTTTACCCCTATGTTCTATTTTTAGCCATGGCGGCCATCTTGGTTGGTTGGCCGGGTCACCGGACACATTTTTTAAACTAGATACCCCAATGATGATTGTGGCCAAGTTTGGTTTAATTTGGCCAAGTAGTTTCAGAGGAGAATATTTTTGTAAAAGTTAACGACGACGGACGACGACGGACGACGACGACGACGACGGACGACGGACGCCAAGTGATGAGAAAAGCTCACTTGGCCCTTTGGGCCAGGTGAGCTAATGAACAACATTTCATTTGCTAACAAACAATGTTTATACTTATTCCAGAAATGACTATTTAAGTAAATAAAAAAAAAAACGTTTAGGAGTCCCTAGTTCAAACATTCAATACATTCATAGATAAAGTCTACACATTTGTTGAAAATGAGTGTATCTCTGGAATTAATGCATGCATTTCAAACACTTATAAATGCACACAAAAATTTAAGAGAATTACGAAATGCCGCCATATAACTTGGATTTCGCCTCCCAACAAAATCCTTGAAACTCAAGAAAATACGATTTTCAGTCGGATATTCGATGCATCTTTCATATGTCTGAATTATTTCACATAAAAACATTCTTTACTGATGGAAAATTGACTATATTACATGTTATGTTTATGGTTGTTTTGGGTTTTTTTTCCTGGTTGTTAAGTTAAAAACTTTTGACTTGACGCAACATCAAAAACAGACAAAGGAGAAAAAAAGAAAGCAAACAACAGCAACAGGAATGGTCTATTTTTGTTCATTGTTCTTTTGGTCTTTTTTTGTTCCTTGACATGACATTGTCAACTCGTTTTCGACTTATATGTTTGACTATCACTGGTATCTTCAGACAAACAGCTTGTATTGGCTAAAACTTCTGACATTATGCGTAGGACAATAACTCGTTTTTGGGATTTAATTTATCTTTAAAACAGACGTCAAGATATTTCTCTTCAAACAAGGTTTTTCTGGTACTAGTATTTGTACCAGTGCCGTGAAATGGTCGGCATCCTTTTACTTTTATCTCAGATCTTCCCATTACCTCCTGCGGAAACATTCGTAGCTTACGTTGAGGCAACTGAGGCGCAGTTGCCTCGGTAAAAAATAATTAAAAAAAAAATAAAAAACTGTTTTTTTTCACAAAATGCAGCAGACTCGCTACTAAACCAACTTGTATATTCATACCGTTTGAGAGTTATGCAAGACTTGTGGAAACATTTCCCTCTGGAAATCTCGACCCCTTTGCGGTAGTTTTCTAAATATGTCAGAGTCAAAAGAAATCGACACAATTGAAGCTGAAAAATTTTAATCCTACCCCAAGCAAAATCAGTAGAATAGATGATGATCCATTTCACGAGCCGGTAAATTATTAATTTTGTGTGAGAATAATTCCTAGAATATGAAGGTCTGAATGAGGTTTACAGAATACAGAAACATGTCCTGAAATTTTATAAACTTAAAAGAATAGAGATTTAAAATGGTGCTTAAATATAAAAGAAAGGAAATCAAATTATGGACAAAAAGGATTAAAATAAATATTTGAAGTCCCCCATTCAAACCCTCATATTTAACCGGTTACGTCTGCAATTGAAACATCGTTGTGTGTTGACATTTTCCCTAATACGTGTAGTACTCCAATTAGTACAGAGTTTCATTGACTTTGATATAAATTAGAATAAAATATACATTAATCAATATGCACAGAATAATGATTTGAATGTTGTTCTAAAGTGTTATTCTCGCTTTTTAAAATTTAGTAGTTTTTCAATAGCAGGGAATTTGAAATACTTGACGGAGTCATTTATTCCAGCGACATATATAGTAAATGTCTGTTTCTATATAAAAACTTCAACCAAATACTGTTTTCATTTATTATGAAGACTTCAGAAAAACGAAAATGTTTCCGTTAGTACTTTAACGGTTGTCACTTTCACAATAATAAAACCATGAATTTGAAGACATTCCAAGAAATATCAGGGCGAAACACAACCCACAAAAGTGCCGTGGTGCGTTTTACATGTAGCATGTGTCTATTTCTTAGTTTATCAAGAAATGGTGCTAGCGTAATGTCTGGTAATGTTTCTGGTATAAAAAACCTGCATACAGCAATTCCAACCAAGAGCATATTATCATCATTGCAGAGTGCACGTTTTGAATCTTGCTGTTGCGTCCACTTGTAAAGCGCTAGCTGAAATCTAATTTTTTTTTACAATTCCGTACGTAAGTTGACATGGTTACTTAGCTGTATTGTTTGACATGCTGTGTCATTTAAGTATACCCCATATCCATCTCCTTTTATTCTCAACGAATTTAAAATCTGAGTTCATTTTGAAATAGTGGTAAATTTATTTGAGAACATTTATGTATTCATCTGAACTGTTGATTGAAAATGATGTAGGTACCAGTAATCAACTAATAAATCTGTAGTATAACTTAGTGTAAGGCATATTAACATTATTATGATGAAATTAAACAAAAGAACTGTTATAATTTTTAATAGATTCTTCTTGTTCAAATTGCAAAACCTCAACAGCTTCTGTGGGGCTGCAACCCCAGACCCCTGCCTCGGTAATAACAGAATGCAAGCTACGCCACTGGGAAAAATCTAGATTGTTCTGACGAAAGACTTGTAGTGCCACATTCAAATAAAGTTACAAAAGGGCCACAATTTCAGAAAAAAAATCTCTTTTCAACACTTTTCAAGCAATATAGACAGAATGTCGCAATTTTACGAAATATACAGAATGAATGCATGTAACCAGTCTATCACTGTCTATTGCATGGTTGGGTATAGCACACTACTGTGTCTTCTATCACTTCTGTTATTTCTTCCGGCAAGGCAGGACTCAAGAGGAAGTTATAGAAATGATAAAGCCTTAGTCGTACACATTATGTCATATCTTTTTGAAGCTGAAAATAGATTTTAAGATTTGTTTGTGGGAGGGGGGGGGGGGGGTCCATCATCTTCTTTTTAATGCAATTTTCATGGAGTATTTGCTTAACTTAAAGTTGATCCATATTTCATAACAGCTTGTTGGGCTTACAGGGTTTTAAACCTTTAAATTTGCAACAGTATCGACCCCAGGATATACTTTTTACGGACAAGAAGCATTTTATTGTTTTATTCCATGTCAGTTTCGAGAAGGATCTTTGCTTTCTTACAGATTTCAGTATCTGTAAATGATCAGAACATCGACTTAGTATGTAAATATTTTTTTTCAAACTACCAAGTCGTTGCTCTAAATGGATGACAATTCCATCTACTTCAGACAAGAGAGAAGTACAGTTAATAGCTTTGAAAATAATAGCTGAGGTTTTTAGTTTTGGAACTTAGAAAATCATATATTTAAATGTAGAGGGATTTTTTTTTTTAACAAATGTTATTCTTTTTTGTTATTATCATTTCTTTTTTTATTTACGGTTAAGATCATATGTGCTCTTTTTCATCAATAATATGATAATCGATTTTCATTTGAATTCAAAGAATTCTCTTATATTTTATTTGAATTAAATTTCTTTTATTTCATTTGAATTAAATTTCTTATATTTCATTTGAATTAAATTTCTTATATTTCATTTGAATTAAATTTCTTATATTTCATTTGAATTAGATTATTTATATTTCATTTAAATTCGATTTCTTATATTTCATTTGAATTTAAATTCGATTTCTTATATTTCATTTGAATTTAATTTATTTCTCTTTTATTTCATTTGAATTTAATTTGTTTCTCTTTTATTTCATTTGAATTTAGTTTGTTTCTCTTTTATTTCATTCAAATTAATTTGTTTTTCTTTCATTTCATTTGAATTTATTTTGTTTCTCTTTTATTTCATATGATAAACAAATCTGCTAATTTACATTGCTTGAAATGTAAAACATCATGTGAATACTTTTCAAATTGCTGTATATTAATTACTCTGTGTCGTAACGGCAATCAACGGCGTACTCTTTAATCAACAAACACATCTTTTTAGAATTAACAATTTCAATGATTGGCATTGATTGGCAATCAATCCAATAATTAAAAAAAGTTTTGCAATTTCGACTTGAGTTGAACACTGCTTGAATGGTTCGAGTAACGAGATGAGTACGAGTTTCCAATTAGAGACCGGTGTTACTTATTGTCAATTCAAAATATCTACTATAAAAATTCATAATACTTCAAATATCAGTATTAAACGTTCAAATCGTTATACTTAGCAGTCAGAATTCAGAGCAACCATTATTATGCTTTCAAGGAGACTGTTCGAAATAATAGTAGACGATGAATTTGATACAATTCCAGCATTTGTATCTACTCTGAGTTTTGAATCTACTCCAGTAAAGGCTAATGACCTTATGTCTGTGGTGACTTCAAACAGCAAACAGAATCTGTTTCTTGATGATGACGATGATTCCGGTCTCGGTATGGACGACCATATTACATCGAGTGTGCCGAAATCCGCCAAGAGACGGCGTGAAGAAGACGAAACGCCTCCCCCAAAACGTCCAAAATTTTGTTCAGATATAAAGGATGTGGTAACCAAACTTGAAGAGAACGACGACTTCATAGCCGATGGTAGTAGATTACATACTTTACCAACTGTCACTGGAAAACATTCTGATTTGAAAAGCATCACTCCGCAGACACTTGCTGATGTTATTAATGGACACTACAATGACGTCATCAGTGACTACAAGATCATCGACTGCCGATACCCGTATGAATTTGAAGGCGGACATATCAGAGGAGCAGAGAATATGTATTTGCACGAGACCATTTTGACTTTGCTTCGGCAACCAACTAAAGATAAACAGATTGTCATCTTCCACTGTGAGTTTTCGTCCGAAAGAGGTCCTAAAATGTTACGATTTCTCAGAAGCAAAGACCGAGAACTCAATAAAGAAAACTATCCATCACTGAACTTTCCGGAAATTTATTTACTAGGAGGTGGTTATAAGTCATTCTTTAACGAACAGCCTGATCTTTGTGACCCAGTGAGCTACCGACCAATGCTTCATTCTGACCACTCAGAAGATTTGCGACATTTCCGAGTCAAGTCAAAGTCATGGACTTTTGAAGAAAAACGAAGATTTGCCAGAAAGGTGATGAAATTTTAGGACTGTAATGCAAATGGTGATTACAAATAGTGTTTTCACTCTGTGATAAAAGGAAACTTTCAGTGCTTTGTTTTAGACATACTTTTTTATTGTCCTTGTTAGTTATATACACTTATTATTGAGATATTAAAGGTTACAAATAATTATATTTCATTTTTTTTCTTTATCCTCTTAAATACCATAGTATAGTGCTACAATGTGTAATATGATTTAGCTGGTACCATGAAACATTTCAGATTATTTCCAATATGTCAAATATATAACAACAAAAATGTAAAATGATTGATTGGTTGGTTAAATTATTTTTCTGAAAATGTAAAAATAACATTAACACACTCCATATCCCAGTCCAAGTCATAATTAACAAAAACACAATAATGTTTATATCCCGTTTATATCCCTTTACATTCAACTACACGTGCTCTCCGAGGCGATTTTTCTTCCGACGTGCTGTTACAACCGTTAAGGAACTCATTGTAGTATATTGTGAGAAAACCGCCAAAGTTTACCAATTTCTGGAGTGTAACAAACATTTTTGTAAAAAAGTTACTTTTGTTTGAAAGCATTTGTTCTCCGTTGACAGTTACCATTTCTCTAGTCTTTATACTACACTCCCATAGTAATTATTCATCTATCTATCAAAATGGCCTTTCCCATTGGTGCATTCGTTACAATTACCTTTTCAGTAATAGATTATCATGACAAAAAAAAATACAAATCGGAAATTCGAAATTCGAAGAAATGACTGAAATGTAATGCATTAGTCATTTTCTTTTGGAAATATTTAATATGAAAAAGTTAAGGAGTTTTATATGATCTTGTATGATTGCCAATGAGACAACTATCATCCGGACTATGACGTGGATGTGAGCATTTATAGGTCATCGTACGGTATTCTATACTGAATAATACCAATTCAAGTTACTGTTTGAGTCAACTAATGAAAAGACAAACAACAGTTAACAAAACACTTCATAGAAAACTAAAGACTTGAGTAACAGGAATCGAACAAACAACCGGGCAAGCACTTAATTCCAATTTCTGAATTAAAGCAAATAAAGCGATAATACCTATAGATTTTGAATTTTGAATTTCGCAAATAATCAATAGATGTCTATGCATGTTAATATTTTATGTTAGGTTGCTGACCCGCTGACTTTTAACTAATTATCTCCTTATTCATATATTAAATATTACTATTTAGTATAATAGAAGGTTTGACTCTTTCGCCCTCCCTTTATTAACACGCAACCGTTTCCCCTTTTTAATAGTTCCATGATCAGCTACTGATTAAACAAAGCGAACCAATATATGCTTCTGTGATTTACCTTTTCCGTTTGAATAGTTCATTAAGACAAACAAAACAATTTCTGTTATAAACATGGTAGATATTACACGAATTTAATATGGGCATGTACTAAAAGGTGGAGTGGAGTGGAGTGGAGTGGTGGAGTGGAGTGGTGGAGTGTTGGAGTGGAGTCATGGAGTGAAATACTTAACATATCCAACAATCAATATTTGATTTTTCATCAAAGTTGGACAATATTTTGGGTAGCATTTTATGACAGCTTAGTTGGAGGTGGGATTATAATGTCTATCGTGTAATTTTCTGTACTGTCCTGAATTGTAGTGTATTTTTAATAAGAAGGGGGAAGCAAAGGCCCAATAACCTATGCAGTTAAAATTGATTTTGGACGAGCTCACAAAACTTCTATTAAAGTACACATAGTGCTTATGTTAATTTCCAAATTGTGGTAGGTTTAGTCCCTAGTTAAAAAATGTATGTCGTATTCCCGGCAAAATATGTTAGAATCAAACAGAGGCTAAAAAATCATCTTGTGATAAAAATATTAAAATTATTCATATTTTTATTAACAATGGACTATGATATTATAAAATTAAATTGTCAATCAACATTTTCACTTAGATTTTATCTTACATGTTAATTTAATGACTGTACTATTTAAAATAGTTTGTTTCTTCCAATTAAAAATAGATAAGGAAAATGTATCTAGCCACCATCGCCTGTCCACAGAACCAATAAAACTGTCATTACTATAACCTCAGAAACTAAATAACTTAAATAGATGAGAAATGTTGTTGTTTTTGAGTAATTTGATAAAATAAACAGATGTTAAATCAGTACAAACCACACACTATATAGGTTCTGCATATTAGGAAAACAAGACTGTCAAAAAGCATAAATAAATTGATATATACATGTATATATATTTAGATATACCGTAAGATATAAGTATATAAAGAAAACATTTTCAACAAATTTTATTGTAAAATTAAAGCTTTATCTATTGTCCTGAACATTTAACGTTGAATTCCTAGCGATTCTAGTAAAAGCAAATGCTCATCTGATAAACTTTGCTTTATTTCGTTATGGATTAAAACATCTTTGAATTCAAACTGAGGATCCTTTTTTCTTGCACAGTCAACATTTAAATGAAAATATTTGTTTTGTAGAGAAACAGATTGTTTCAAGATTTTAGATCTTGGACTTAAATACATTCTATGATCATATCTTTTTAACACAAGATCATTTGGAACATTTCTATGCTTATCTGAAAATGATTGTCCACAGCCGTAACATTTTCTTATTATTCCAGCTATGAAAGTAAGATGGAATGGTTGTTTATTTAAATCAGGTCTTTGAACTTCAGTGTCTTGTCTATACTCATTCACCTCTAATGACTGATAGACATTATAATCCCACCTCCAACTAAGCTGTCATAAAATGCTACCCAAAATATTGTCCAACTTTGATGAAAAATCAAATATTGATTGTTGGATATGTTAAGTATTTCACTCCGTGACTCCACTCCAACACTCCACCACTCCACTCCACTCCACTCCACCTTTTAGTACATGCCTTTAATATGTTATGCACTGGTGGGGTCATGGCATGACTAAGAAAAAGTGAGTTAATTAGAAATATTTAAAATTATTCAAAGATAAAAAAGTCTACGCTGTGAAGTATTAAGGTAAAGGGCAACACACGCATACTGTTTACACAAGCAAGAGTTACACGAGTATAGAATTATAGTCACTTAAACTTACCAAGTATTGTATTGGGGAAGGGTGTCTGTTTTAAACACAATCACGTCTTATCGAAATGCATTGATTAAATGTATTATCCAGTCTTCAGACAGTGCAATACACATTTAAGTTTTTTGTTGTCACTTTCGACCCTCTATGCCCTCACACCCTAGACAATTGATAACATGTTAAATACTTGTATGTTAAAGTTTTAAAAGGGGCTGAAATGTTTGATATTTGACTTGAAAAAGCAACTGCTAGTCTACATGGATACATGTTTTAATTTATTCGCCAGCCATCAGATCTTGGGTTCATCCGAGTAAATATCACGTCAGTACTTTAATTTCATATATATCATAAGACAACAAAAATGAAGACGGTGATTGGTTCATTGGAATAACATTTCATCTACAAACAGCATTTTTAGACACTTATTCGAGAAACTATTTGAATAAATTAAAAACAAAAACACGTTTTCGACACCTGTTACATGCATTCTATACACCTATAGATCTATTACACACAATTCTCTGGAAGTATTACGCTTCGTTTTTTTGACATTTAGATGCAGTTCATAGAGTTATAACTCCATACAAGATTTCGAAGAATTACCATAAAACGTGGACCTCGCTCTAAACAAAATCTTGTGAAAATCAAGAAAATAAGATTTTCATTAGGATATTCGAACATTGTTTATATGTCCGAATTAGAATGAATTTCATAACAGTGTGGACATGGACACCTGATATTTAAGTTATATCGTGCCGGTCACTGGCTGTCGACAACAAAGACTTCACGCAATTACACATGTCCATTCAATTAATTTTTTTTTTGCATGAAAGTTTATAGGAATTTGTTTTGAACATATTTATATACTCACAGCAAAAAGTAAAATCACAAAAATACTGAACTCCGAGGAAAATTTAAAGAAGAAAGTCAAAAAGTTTCTTTTGAAAGAATGATTATCACCAAGTAATCGAGAAAAAAAAGTAAGAAAAATTCTTTTCTGGCAATAAGTGAAAAATTAAGTAATGTGTCAGTTATAGACAGTAGTCCATCATGCATTGTAAATCATTCAGTGGATAGGTCAATAGCCAAAATAAAAAAAATGCTTTATTTGTAAACACTAATACATAAATTTGTGTTTCAGTATCTATCCATGAATTAAATATGTTAACAATACCTTTTATACTAGATTATCAAACGAGTACACCCTGTTTAAAAGTTATTATTACACTGTTACTGTTATGTTGACATAATAACCTGTACATTATCTCGTGTTACAGTTGACCAGTTTAATTTTGTGCACATGATTTATTATTCCAAAACAGATGTATTGTGAACATATCATTAAATTCATGGATATATATTGAAACACAGAAACTGAAAAAGAAGTGAGTCAAATTGTAAGGGGGCGACCATTCCTGATTTAGTTAAAATAAGGAATGGCTATGCAAGAGGCTTTAAAGTTTTGAAATCAGCATGAATAAAATTGCAAATTAACATTTATGCAGAATTGTCTCAAATATGCGCCCTAAAAAAAAAATAGTTGAGTAAGACCAAATTCATTGAAATTACCTGCTTAATTTGTAGTAAAAGAATATAGATCCCGTAACTTTTGTTATACGTGTTCAGGTATAACAAAATCTAAAATAAATACATGTATCAATGTTTCCACAAAAGTTACTCTGACTCCAATCAACGCAAATTTTGCACACATGACCGGATTCATATGCATATGCTTCTTGATATTTTCACGAATTATTTTTTGTTTGAATGATATTTAAATCTATACGAAAATCTGATCGTTGGAGTCTTCGATGGGAATTCAAATTTGTTCCGTACAAAACATTATGCATCACAGAGGACTATTTTTTATGAAGGTCCGGGGTTCTTATTACCAACAAAAATAATCTTAGTATGAATAAACTCATCATAGATACCAGGATTGA